TCAACAGGTTAACAAGCTAACTGCGCTAACGCACTAGTTCCCACCAATGTAATTGAGCATTGCGTGGCACATCCGACATACTGTTTTACTTTAGTCCATGACGCGCTTACCTTCAGGGTCATACTTCACATGAAAACCAAAATAGTTCCAAACGCTACATTGAATGAGGGTGGGGGAGGTTCAATTTTGGGTAGCGTTGAGGCAGTTGCCATGTTGCAACGAGCTTAGCTTCTGTTTTGCTAGCTTGCGCTGCGCTCAGTGGATCTGCACTTGACAGTGCAGCCTAGGCGGAGTAGTCGAACTGAGCTCTCAACACAGACAGCATCGTCAGAAGAAAAGTTGATAAAACAAATAAAAATGTTGTATTGTTCGATACAAAACCGAACCGAAAGAACTGTATCGAACGGTTCAATATCGATACGAGTATCGATGCACCCCTAATATATATATATATATTTAAATATAGATAGATATAGATATAGATATGTATTTATGCTTATGTGATGTTTAGGCATAGCTCTTTATCTAGTTAGCATGTGTGTGATGTCCTTGCTTAACCCAACTGTAATGATTCCACTTCCTGTATTTCACACTGTAAGTGATCGTACTGTGGGAAGTGCCTTCAGATAGATTTTCTGCTCAGGTTAGTGTTGGGTCTATATTAAGTATAATGGTATAGAGAACTATCTGATTTTTGTGAAGTAGCTCCAGGCCACATGTTCTGTGGAGTACTGCAGCCGTCCAATCAGCTTTCAGAAACAGCTCATTTCTCATCACTGTGTAAAACACTGCTAGCTCCTACATGAAACACAGCACTGTATGGTCTTATAATCAGAATAACTTTTATGCAGTACAGCACATAAAGCAATAAATGCATTTGGAGCCCACATATTGAAGTTTGGTTAAAGCAGTGGACGCTGATTAGCTGAGTTACTATAATGCACTTGATGCTTGCAGCGTAAACATTAACTGTTTAATGGGCTTAAGTAGTTCATGCCTTTTTATGCACATTCCCTTTTTTTCACTGCTTCTTTGAACCGTAGGACTGAAGGACATTTAAACAGTTATAATCAGGTATAGTTGCTTTGTGCTGCACCCATGCTCCGTTTGACCCTTGTTCACCTTTTGCCTCAGGCTAATAATAGGGGATTATCGGGTCTTTGGGGTCTCGCTCCAATACTGTAGCCTTTACCTAACAATAGGATTTGTCTTTAGATGATAATCAAATTGGTACGCAGCTAGTCTTCACACACTCACCTGCAGCCTGCAGATGTGCTGTCCACTGCCTTCAGACTTTTAACCTTTTATATAAAATACTGTGACAAATAAAAAAAAATGATAAAATAAATAAATAAATTGAAATTGAATTTAACAACAAAATGAATTTACATTTATTTCGAATGATAGACAGAAAACAGTCTAAAACTAAAGTTAGGTCCAGAACAACAACGACGTCCTCAAAATGGGGAGCTTTTATTTTGAAAATCCATTTAATGGGTCATTGTCATGCCTGACGACTCAGCCACGTCCCGTGTTCCGTGTTCTGGCTGGCCAGGGTGAAACGCTGTGATATGATGCTGTTAGTGGAGACTGTGGCCTTTGGTGAATTACATACACTTCTTATCCAATGAATAAAAGACTTTCCAAAACCAACTTCATGAAGAACCATGAAAAGAAAGACCAGTAAACTTTGCCAAAGGCCTTTTCTGCATCTCGTCTGTTGCTTCAGCGTTGCGCCGCAGTGCCAGGCTAATGAGGTTGAATAACCTTCTAGATGTGTTAGTAGAACGTCTGCCTTTGACGAAAGTGACTTAGGGATAACTTTAATGTGGGCATTGATTAATGACAGGTCGGTAGGTAGAGCAGGGTCTTTATCTGGCTTTAGTCAAAGTGTTATTGCAGCTGTGTTAATATGGGAAGGAAGCAGGTTGTTATGTTTTATTACTGCGACTGTTCTGACCAATCATAGAGGAAGAAATGGAGATCCATCAGAGCCCAGCGCCTTGTTTGGCACTCAGATCAAGGCACCGTGTAGCTCATTGGTGGTTCGATGAGTGAATGTCTTCTGCTTATTCTCAGTAGACATAGACGGTATCATTCAGTTACCTTGAAGTGTATTTGCACTGTTTTGTTTGTTGGCTGATTGTATTGGATTATATTGTAGCAGATATTCAGTTTGTTGTTATGATAAAATATTATCAGCTGTAATTTTGTGTTTTGTAATTCTCTCGACATTTGTTTCTTTGGGTTTGTCGTCGCTCTGAGTTGCTTCATTTTTTCTTTAATATTGCAGTATAATATGTATGTATGTATGCAATACATCCAGTTTTTCTTCCTGTTTTTCTTCTAAGGCTACTGCGATATGATTTTTCACCAAGCTTCTTGCTGATTGTCTCGTAGTCCAGCCTCATGCATTTCTACAGTCTTGTCCCCGATGTCGGCTCTGTGGTCCTGCCCATGCTGCTGCAGGGGCTGGAGTGGAAGTAACTGATGAGTTTAGGTTGACTATTTGTAATTGATCTGTGAGAGTGAGAATATTAGATGGGTTGTAGCTGAATACTTATTTGACTCAATGACAGGCAAATCAATGTATGACTTAAAAATTAAGCAGGCAGTCGTCTAAGGAGCTTGGAAAGAGTGGAAAGTTGCTGGCAGACGTCTCACCTCTCTCATCCAAGAAGCTTCTTCAGTTCTGAAGCTGCTCAGATGAGACTGCGATGACCTGGATGACTGAGAACCTTCACGTACAAACAAATCTTTTTCCTCCCACTGTACGAACAGTTGCAGAAACTGTTGGTGAATACGTTAAAATAAATATTGTGTCTTACATAATATACCGAGTTCCTCCACAGGCAGATTTAGTCTCGGGTGAGACACAGTGACACAGAAGAGCTTCCTTACCAGGCCAGGACTCAGGTCTGTCTGCGCCTGCAGGCCAGTGGCCACTTTGAAAGGTGATGATGTGCACATCCTGGACAGGGAGTCGAGGAGGGCATGTCTGTGTCGAAGAGGGCGCCTTAAAGTATAAAGTATGGGCATAACAATTTGAATATCAACCACCATGAGCTGAGCTCACAGCCCACTGTTAGTTTGGATCGTTGTGCAGCTGTGCTGTTTATAAGGTGGGAAATCTTAAGAAAGGTGAATTGCAGTCAGTGCCAAACAAGACTGCAGCTTTGTTCCTGCAAATGAGCAAACACTGATTCCACTTTAATGTGAGAGTGAACACATTTGTGTCTGAATAGCCAGAAATGTTTTAATGAAGGGTGTTTTTGTTGTTTTAAAGATGCGTTTGAATGGATTCCAAATGTGGACGACTTCTCTGTTTGAATGAAACACACAGACCTCCAAACACTAATGTGTACACACCCGAGCAGAAGTCACTAAACGCCAAAGTTACCAAACGGATGCACAGCTGATTTAGAGACTGGACTCGAGCAGGCACAGCACTGGAGCCTCTTTCTGTGGTGCTGAGCCTGACGTCCTCAGTGATGCTGCACATGAGCTCTGTAATTGTTGCTGCTCACATATTCTGACAACAGAACTGATGAATAGATTTTTTAAGATCACTTGTATTTGTTGTTTTACTGTGTAGTGCAAAGACACAACTGTCAGTGTGTTTTATGTGTGTAACAATATTGAGTCACACCATCAGCGAGCATCACCTTCATCGTTCAGCCGTTTCTTTTTCAAAGATGTTTTGTTCATTCTCCACATTCATCATCCTTTTTTCTTTCATGTGGTCTTTCATAGGTCCTCCCATGCCCTCCCCCTCCTGCCCATCTGTCATTGACCAATCACATCCACAGTCAGCTAATCCGCACGACAACCCGCTGTTAGCCAACATACCTGAGCCTAACTCAGAGGAAGAGGAGGAGGAAGAGGAGTATGCTGCTCGGTTCTACTTAGCCGTAACATATGGTAAAGAGACTTTTTTTAAAGACATGCACTCATTTTGGATTCAGTGTGTGAGCTGCAGCTGTGGACTGTGGGGTGACTCCCAGGGTGACAGTTAGTCGTGATTTCTCCTTGTGTGTTTTTATTTCCTCTGTACCTAAACATCAATCTGCTGTCACAGAGCGGCTGACGGATTTTATTCACACAAAAGAGAGCATGTAGAT